ACAAAGAACACCGACGGAAGTCATGAGTGGCGGGTTGTCATGGACTTCCATAGGGAGGCAAAACAAAAAACGTCCAGCCTGAGAATTGCATAACCCCTCGTGGGAGACAAAGAACACCGACAAAAGTCATTAATGGCAGGTTGTCATGGACATGGGGTCGCCTCAAAACTCTCGATGGGGGAACGTTGCGTAAAAACAATGAGTCGGATGTAAGGGGGCATAGTCATCCAACCACTGGCATCGCAAATGACATCTACTATTGCCTTCATCCCGAGATCGGATGAATCCGAACTCCATCCGGAACAAGTGGCACGAACAACACTCTCTCACTCCCGCTGCAATCTCGAGAACGCCTCCCTAAGCTGCTCTGGAAAACAAGGCCGCGATTAATTGGACTCGAAATGTGATCGGCGTGGATCGAGAGCTGATCGTTCCACGAGGTCATTGTGCGCTCATTCAACTCAGATTTCGAGACTGCAATCGTCGCGAGGATTGTCCACGTCAGAGTTCGCCCAAAATGAATCGTGGCGAGGGGACGGGCTGCCGCATGGGCGGCGGTGCTGTGAAGTTTTCCTATGGGCGCGATGGAACTTGTGAGCGCTAGTTCCATATCCAAAATGTTGTCGATGCGTGTCCGGCGTCTCGCGCCCGGTTGCGTGGCGGTTCCTCATTGCTAGCTGCATGTGCGAGAACGGGCGATGAGACAGGGAACGTTCAAGACAACAAGAAAAAGATCCTGATGTCGTCCACAACCGCGATAGACATGTTCAATCATCGAGTCGATCGGAAACGAGCTCGAAGTTGGCCCTTGGCGGTGGGATGTCGCGGGATCGGCGGTAATCTGGGATGTTTCGGATTCGCCATGGGTATCGATTCTTCGCAACGGGTCGTCGCTGAATGTTGTGGATGGGTGGCTTCGCCACTCTTGGCTGTGAGTGTGACACGGGCGATTCCTGTTGGAGGTGCGCGTTTGTCGTGAGGCTTCCAGCTATCAGCGCTGCGATAACAGATCGCCCGATAGACGTCAACACCAGAGATGGATGCACGGGATCTTAAAGTCGATCGACATGCATTTTTCAGATGACGTGTCCGGTGTTGACGTCTATCGGGTGATGTGTTATCGCAGCGGTGATGATGCCAGGGAGCAACGGCGATGAAACTTCGTCCACGCGTCAGATGCGGTCATCGGAGGCGTCCAACGATCTTGACTGCGAAAGCCGCAGGCCCTTTCGAATTCCAGACGTCATGCGCAAGATGGTGATGTCAGCGTATGTTAGTGGAAGGGAACTTTCGTGGTTGTGAGCTGCGTACATCGTGGACTCAAGATCGCGCGCATGTCGACTCGTGCGTGATAGACGGAGCAGGCGGTGATGTAGAAAAAAACTCGCACGATCGACTGCATTGGGATATCCTAAGTAGACTGGGGGAGGACGACCCGCGAGCCAGGGTCCAAGAAAGTTTACCAACAAGCGATGTCGAGGACGCCAAGACTCGAGGGCGATGCGACTTTCTCCACGCGTCAGATGCGGTCGACGGAGGGCGCCAAGACTAGAGGGCGATGTTGGAGACGCCAACAAGCGATGTTGAGGACGCCAACAAGCGATGTTGAGGACGCAAATAAGCGATGTTGAGGACGCCAAGACTCGAGGCCGATGACTGTGAAAGCCGCAAGCCATTGCCCGCCGCTGACGTCATGTGCAAGATGATGACGTCAGCGTGTGTCACTGCATGGGGTCTTCCGTCGTTGTGATCAGTGGGCGTCGTGCGCTCAAGATCGTGCGCGTGATTGGCGGAGCAGGTGGTGGCAGAGAACAAGACTTGCACGGTCGAAGGAGCGGAAGGGCAATGGGAAGAGGTGGGGCCTTGAAATGGTGAAGGGGTCGAGCATGGGGCGTGGGCTTCTTACTGACCTGTGAGTCAACAAACGCCTCCAGCCAACACAAGAAAGCACAGCGCGAATGGGACGACGCGCAAGGTCTACAACCGCGTGACGCTTTCGTTAGCGTCCCCGGCTATCGACGATTGCTGGAAGAACGAAGGCCTAGATGCGCAAGGGGCCTGCGATATGATGCAGGCGACTTCGAGCGAAGGTGGACGCGTCGCAAATGCAGCACACGGAAGAAATGACACCAGCGAACGGGTGTGACTGCCACCCCCATTCGTTTGGTGCCCGACAGGAGAACGGAGAGTGCAGTGAGCGGGGCTTGAGGGGCCCTTCAGCTGCCCGCCGCAGGTACTGCCGCGTCGGGGGCTGTGACATCAGGCGGTCCCTTTTTTGACGGACCCTCCTCACGAAATCCTACGGTCCGAAACCATCGCGGGAGAGCGGGTCGTGATTGCGAGAGGTTTGGCCTTTTTTCACCGTGCTATTGACGGTCCCAACGCATCATGTGGCGCAAATTTTCCCGCCCACTTTTGATTATCGGGGCCCCCGCGGATTTTACTGTGATATCGACGGTTCCAACGCGTCATCCGGCGTGACTTTTCCTGCCCACTTTCGTTTCTTGGGCCCCGCGCGGATGTATCCGCCATTCGAATGACGGTGGCGCCATTCTGCAAATTTGCAGGTGGGCATTGCAATCGTCCGAAGCAGCAGGCAATCACAGGTGTCGCCAACCCTCACGGCCGAAAATGCCCGTCGCGCGCCCGGACCACCCGCCCTTGCCAGCGACACAGCCATCTCGTCGCCGAGGGACACAACCATCTTGTCGCCGTCTCCCCCGCCGTTTGGCTCGCTTCTCTCTCTCTCCCTCGTCGCCATATCCCTCGCCTCGCCATCTCCTTCGCGTCGCAATCTCCCATGTCTCCGTTTGCGGTTTTGCCCTTTCACGCGTCGACACCTCCCTTTTCGCGCGTCGCGACACGCGTCGTCGTATTGCGGTTTGAGATCATCAACCAAGTCGTCGGGGCCATTGTTTCTAACAACAGTTGTAAATCGAGGAAAGAAAAGGTGCGTTCTCTCTCTCATTCTATCTCCCTTTCTCATCTCTCTCTGTCTCACTCCTCGTCTCGCTCTCTCTATTTGGCTCTGCCTATCTTTCTCTCTCTCTCTCTCTCTCTCTCTCTCTCTCTCTCTCTCTCTC